GCTTCCTTGGTGTGTGGATGGACGAGCAGGTTCGACCACTCGGGTAGTTTCAGGGTTGGACTTCCGAGTTCTTGTATGAGGACGGGAAACCATACCCTCGCTGGCCAATAGGGCGCGACCCAAATCAGAAGCAACGTTGTTGTCTGCTTGATTTTCTGTATTACTTGTGGTAGTAGTGCTGGAGGTGGAAACGCGTAAGCATTTAGTCCTTCCCATGAGATGCTTAAAGCATCTGTTGCCCATGCCTGAGGATCCGGAATCGGTGAGACGAATATTGGTAGTTGTTTGTTGTCTGTTGCAAACAGGTCTATCAGCGGAGATCCTTCTGTCTGTCAGTGTTCACTAATCATGTTTCAAAGGAACAGGACATTGGGTCCTGTAAGTTTCAGATGTCTGTCTGACCCATTGAAAATTCACAGGACCCATAGAATAAAATTAAACACACATTTCAGATTTAGCATTTCTTATAATTGGCACTGAAATTATAAACAAACGTAAGATTTATAAAGAGCAAACAGGTGTCACATGTCCCATATAACAACTTCAGTCAAAGTCATTGTGAAATATACAGTCAGACACTGGGGCCGGCGGGTTGTAGACTTCTATCGGACCATTGGCAAATGAGCCGGTAAGTTTCAGATGTCTGTCTGACTTGCTTGAGATATCATATGTTGTATCTTGACCCAATGATCCTCTGGGACAACCGTGTGATTCTGTGGTGTGATGAGCCATATTCCCAGCAATTGAAGATCCTGTTTTGGTTCCAACTCCGATTAGGACATTACTAGCCATCTACTGCAATCATGTCCTACGTTATAGGTACGTGGATCTAGGAGCCCTTGCCATGTCCGACATGGAAGCGGAGAGATGATCGATTCTGGAATCATGGCTTGAAACTTGTCTCATCAAGCGTCTGGTAATATGTAATGAAGATGTTGTCTCCAGAATCCCAACAATGTGCAGCAATGATGCATAATACGTCGTCTTTAGGTCAGCAAAAATCTATGATGTTCTGGGACTGCCATCGATGTGAAGTCTATTTATAGTCGTCCGGCTGCCGTGAGCAGAAACCGTCTCGCATGTCGCTGCAAGTCCCCAGAAGTCCTCTATGACCTGTGAAGATAGTCGAACCACGCTGCACCTTGCTAACTGGACTGTAAATGGAGCCTTTCCCACGTTGAAACAGTTGTTTACAACTGTAGACGACTTCCTGGCACGTGATTGTGACGTCGCCGGTGTTGCAGGTAAATGATCCTCGTAGAATCTTGTGCAGTCATTGATTTCTTCGTCAACACCTGACCTTGTCCGTACCTCTCTGTTCGGCTTGTGCCGGAGTTACACGAGTGAACACGTGTCTTGACAGCTGAGTGTAAGCGCGCGAAAACTTTGCCGCGTAGTATCGATGTAAGCAGACTGTTCCCTGTCTGTTGTGACTGTATTCTTCAACTTTATAATCTTTACTGCAGTCGTCATCTTAACAGATGTTCTGTAAAGTTGACCGTAACCGATGTCTCGCTGAGGAACTGCGACAAAGCTGTTAAATGTCCCTTTGATATCTTGTAAGCCCATGTGATGAAATTTCATATTCAGTGTTTCATCGGATATTATCTGACATCGTTACTTCAGGTGTGTGTCTCTTCCTCCAGCCACGCGTTGATCCAACATAGCCAACATCTAGGTGTAGTGTCCAGTTGTGTTATCTTCTTATATTCCATCTTGAATTTCTATTAGGGGATTCACTGATGATCTTGTAATCTCAAACCCTGATGTATCATGAAGGGCTCTGTATGATGAAGGGGAAATCTGCTATCGTTGAACGGCGGGACATGCTGACTGATCATAATCCTCCCCGTGAGTGCCTGAGTGCAGGTTGATGAAGGTCCAAGTTGGAAGATCCGTATCTGCACAGTCTGTAGAATCCTGGGGAACGACTGGATCTACTTCTGCGCTGAGATGCTGAAACTGCGTGGAGGCTCCATCGTGGACTGCTAAAGCTAAGCTGGAGTTCGTTGAATCCTCCAGGCTTCTAACTGCTGATACTTCTGATAGTAAAGATCTTCGCGAACGTAACCATTTGTGCAGGCCTTCACCCGAGAGAGCTTGTACAGCTAATATTCCTTCGCGCAGGGCGACTGTCATCGGAGGGGTTTGCTATGCTGAGCTGACATTAGTAGAGTTCTCCAGACTTCTAACTTCAGACAGTGAAGTTTGACATTTCCCTATCTGAAGATCCATAATGACGCAAGTCTCTGTATGTAGATCTGTATGTAGAGCTGCGTGTAGGTGAACGGTCCCGGTGTGACTGTGTATTCCTCCTGGAGTCTTGAGATATGTCTCTAAGCCTTCACGAAGGCTGATTGACGTAATCTCCCCTCTGTGAGATGTGGAGTGCCTGCGCGCAGGTTCCCGAAGTGAGTCTAAGTCCGACGGTGATGACGATCCATATCTGCGGCGTCTGTAGGGTTCAGCAGAACTCTTCAATCTGCCTCTGTGTGGAGAATCTTAGAGGCTCCTTCGGGGGCGTCTAAGGCTGAGCTGACATTGGTAGTGTTGTCCAGACTTTTAGCTTCAGTCGTTGAAGATCGTCAGGTGTGTGGGCCTTCGTGCAGGCTTTCCTCTTCATCCAGGTGCGTTGGAGAAGCTGCTGAATCTTCATGCAGACTTGTAGTTGCGTGAAGTGACGTTCCATCATCGACATCATCTGATCTGTAAACTGTTGCATAAACAGCCCCTGGTTGAAGTTCTGCGACGTATGTAGAGACTGCTGCAGGGTTGATGATGCTTCTGAGAATGTTCAGGCCTCTTCGCGGTGGGCGAACTGGCTAAAGCGCCAGGCTAGTGATCCAGCGAGATTGAGGTGACGGGATCGAGCCCACCTGTGACCGGGTGTAAAAACCTTGGAGTCAACTTTGTGTGCAGACTCTTCCAGTGTTGTCACAACCCCTAGTGTACAGTACACAGCCCTGTGCACTTAAAAGAACCCACGAATCCATTGGCATATGACCAGATGGTGGCCACATGAATATGTGCAAACACCCATTGCGGGTACAGCAACGTGCAGTAAACTTGGACAAAGTACTGTGACTATGTGTCCCAGTCCACCCAGCTGTGAATGGGTACCTCATAAGGATGGGAATGCCACAATAACTCAGTGCGCCTAGTGGCTGCAAGAGTTGTATGCTCCCCAGGGAGTTGAGATTGACAATACGATGTGCCGTTGAGATTGACATCCAGTGAACGAGGGAAAAACAAAGAGCCTTTGAGCAGCTGAGCTGAGCTGGATATCGGCACTATACAAATGTTAGTATGTATGTATGTATGTATGTATATATGTTCTAAGGTACGCTGCACTTGTGAAGAGTTGACGCTGCTGCTATCTCTGGTACCCGATGTCTGCATCGATAGAAGGTCTTATGTCAATGTCTGCGCTGATATAGTTGCCGATGTAGCTGTTGAAGCAGGCTTCATCTTCTTGCTGACGACTGTGACTTCAGGTATGATGATGGGGAGATCATCATACACGTCTGCTTCTTCCGGAGGTACAATATCGGCAATGAAGGATCTCGTCTTCTGCGTAGAGCTGTGAAGAGACTTCGACGAAGTCTTAGGAGCTGTAGACTTCTTCTTCTGCGCTGAAGAAGATCTTGTCTTCTTCATCTGAGATGAGGACAGCTCCATTGACAACGATCTCTACTTAATCGAGACGGAGTTCATCACTGGAACAGCTACCTGCCCTCATAAAACGCTCGGCAATTCACTGGAATTATGAACATCGGCAGCAGTAATTAACACATGATTATCAGCGCAATCACTCGATTTACCAGACATGACTTGTGAATACCTTCTTACCCAGTCCTTTGCACGTCTATGAAGAGAAAAAAAAAGGTAGTTATTAAATTCAAAAGTAGTTTCTGACAAGAACATGTAGTAGTGCAATCAGGACATAATATATGCGGGTCAGCCACAGACAGCCGGTCTGAACGAATACAAGTTTTCATCAATTGTAAACCAGATGAAAAACATTGCCGACAACGTATAAATTTGACATAATATCAAAACATTTGATAATATACAATCCAAAAGCCGTATACAGCTGCCAGTTAGATGTAAAAGGTCCAAAATAGAAAAGGATATGTGCCGTATAGCGACCCAGGTGCTCTCACAACCGTCCTCAAGGGCGAATAAGGAGAGAGTGACAAACATGGCTGGTCATGTGGCCAAAAAGGGCACCAAAGTAGGCAAGGGAGACTACTCGTGGGTGAGTGATGATTTTACGTCCGCTTTTTAGAAGGGAACTTCAATGGATTTCAAGTGTTCCACTATAATTCGCAAGAAGAAGGAGAGAAGCATTTAGCATGAGTCAGGATAAGGAAAAATAAAACCAATTATCCAGCCTCATGTAAGAATGTAGAGTTTTGATTGGTTCACGTAAATCTGATAAAATACCATGTACACGCGTCACGATCCGCGAGCAGGGAGTACAAAAGTCATATGATCCCGCCATGCCTCGGTGACCACACGAAGTGAGAAAAGCGTGCATCGCCAAGCCTTTAGTTAAGTGCGCTGCATTGAGGTCAATCGATCAGCTGGTGTCAACATGGCATCTCACATAAATAAAAACAAGTCAATTCGATGCATATTGTTTTCTTTTGATTTAGTAAAAACATTTGGCTAGATAAATGCGTTATCACATCGCGTGTCGAGGGAAATACAGGGTTTTATCAGTCCCTCGTAAGGTTGCATTCCCCGAGCCGGAGTCCCTCGTAAGGTTGTATTCGACCTTACGAGGGACTGATAAAACCCTGTATTTCCCTCGACACGATGTGATAACTTATAATGTCATGTCAAGGTAGTTCTATAATTGATATAGACGATGCACTGATTGATATAATGTGATATAATTCAGACCTTCATCTGTTATACCCTGCTTGACTACATAGTCACATCAGTAAACTGAAAGTAAACTCTATAAATCAATTTATAGTAGATTATTATCTCACCATGGGCATTCATCGAGGCTTCTGTAATACATCTGACCAGCTTCCTTGCCTTGAAGTATTCAAACATTGGAGCCCGCTTCTCTTCATCTTCATCAAAGATCCACACATTCACACGTGCTCTAGTCAAGGCTGTGTACAGATGCTTCAGTTCAGAGTTCAGGACCTTATGTTGGTTGGGGTCAAAGTTCAAAGGTCGAGGCCTCTTTGGCTGCTTTAAGATTTCTGTAAATAAAAGTAATTTGGACATTTGAAAACCCAAGATCATGAAAACTTTAATCATGTACATATAACAAAAATACTTAAAAATGTGTCAGCAATTTTCGTATGACTACACCCACAGAAGCACATGACAAAGCCTGATCAGAACTTTCAGCTTTCAAAACATATGACAACAATGGATCCAACAAGGTACCTTCTCTGTCCTAAGATCCCCTGGATTTGAAAACTGAAAGACAAACTCATATAATAGTCATTATATTACATTTTGGCTATTTTACACCTTAAAATGGTGTTGACACATAGCTAGGTTTGGGGTAGTGACCTAAATTCAGTGATAACCACGGACATACAAACCTTCATCAATGATGACAAGATTTTCTGTTCTTTCATCTTCATGACATTTTGCAATTTGTTCCAAGAATGATGTAACAACTCGCCACTCTTTCATCGCCTGAATTCAAAGAATAATATGTACACCAATACAGAGGCAAATCATATACTTGTGACCCATCAATAGCAAAAACTTTAGATAAACCTGTAGAGGTTTCCAATTCTTTGAAGAGAATCATCCTTGGGGTACATATATGCATTTTCTGCGGCTGAAAAGGTCATGTGACAGTTGTATCAATGTTTTAATAAAAATATTGTACAACAAGCATTGTCACTAAGGTGACATAATCCACCGCCGCAAATTATCAAATCAAACTTGTCTGCAAATCAGTGAACAGAATTGCGGGGAGGAAGGCGGCCCCTACCCCAAGGTGAGGTGAGGTGAATTGGGGTTTAACGTCGTGCTTGAGAATATTTCTCTCATATGACGACGTGCATACCTGTGCATGTGTATGTGCAGCTTGTACTAGCCCAGACTGAAGCTGGTTTTATAGTGCTAGCCCACTGAGATACCATGCCGCAGTGAAGCATGAATACCCCACTCAGACACATTATACCGACACCGAGCCGACCAGTCCTTGTTGTACCCATTAATGCCGAGCGCCAGGCAGCGACAAACAAGTACCATATTTTAACGTCTGTTGGTATGACGCGGTCGGGGATCGAACCCGCGACCTTCTGCTCTCTGGGTGGACACTCTAACCACTACACCACGGAGGCGGTCCTACCCCAAGGACGATTCTCTTCAAAAAATTGGACTGACTCACTGACTGAGTTTGGTTTTACGCCGCTTTTAGCAATATTCCAGCAACATCACGGTGGGGAACACCAGAAATGGGCTTCACACATTGTACCCTTGTGGGGATTTGAACCCAGGTCTTCGGCGTGACGAGCCAACGCTTTAACCACTAGGCTAGCCCACCGCCCCTCAAAGAATTGGAAACCTCTACAGGTTTATCTAATTCTTTTTCATAGTGATCGTCCTTGGGGTACATATATATTCATTAACACAGACTCCCAAAGAACGGAGACCAGGGAGGAGGGAATTCTGTAACAGTACACATAAATAGCGATCACGTAAACAAAAAGTTACTTACGCCACAACACTCACCTGTCTCATGTCCTGAAGCTCCCGCGAGAGGCATTATGGGAGGTGACCCCACAGGGAGGAAACGTACTGAGGACCGACCTCAACATGCTAAGCATTAAAACACATCACATAGTGTGTATATAAAACCCCGCCCACTTAGTAAAATCTCTAGAGAGCACCTTCTATAAAACCAAATAACCAAGACTCACTCGGTCCGGGTGGCAGGACACTGTCCACCGGAGAGAACAGAACAGCCAAAGCGCGCTCGATCCTGGGAATGTGTATCAAGCTGATAGTGCTGTATAAAAGTGCCAGGCCGGCTCCAAATAGGGGCGGAGCAAATCACTTTGATGGGCAGTGCCACTGCAAAAGCTTTTGAAGTGGCTACTGCCCTGACCGAGTGAGCCTTCAACCCCTCAAGGGGAGGCTTGTGTTACCTGAGGGTGTCGGGGTGTCATACCCTTTCTCCCTAGGCAATCTGTCTTGCCACTCTGGTTCTGGGGATGATGTAGCTAAGATGAATAGTGAAAGATAAGTCCGGTATGGTGTTCAAGTCCATTTATTTTGGAATGAATTCTTTCACAAAGGTCCTCAGATATTGCCTAGCTTTCCTGGTTTACATGCAACACAGATTCACAAATCTCATGGAAGAACTTGTTGGTTTCTTGTACAACTCCTAAAGTTTCAAGTTCATCTGAGCCATTCTCTCAATATACAGAGAGAACCTCTCAAGTCAACGGTGGGGCCCAGAATCGCTTCTGTTCCCCTCGAGTGAGTGAGAAAAGTCTTCTTTGACAATTTTTGCTCCTCCCCTCGAAATATTGTCCTACCTCATACAAAAATGACTCATATCCAATCTTAATAATTAGTTACTTTCATTAGTCCCTTTCGGAGACTTTATTTGGTACCATCAAATTCTTCCAGTGATAAAATGACATTGCTAGTTATCCTTAAGCCATCCATCAAACAAACGTTGACATATCTAACTAACATCTCAGACTGGTAGGCGCCAGAAGATACTTAATCAAATCATTTCAGATCCTATGCGTCCCCCTTTATTGACAAACTGACCATCTGTATCCCAAATGTCCATCAACCCATTTGTGTAGAAACACACAAGTTTGAACCTTTCACCTTCATTTATGTCAATTCAGACAAATTGTTATTCCCCCAAGAAAAGTGAATCAATAACAGTTCGGTTAGCTTGGTCAATGCATTTTCCCAGTACATTCACCCTTCTTAACTTGACTTCAAATTTTCATTAAATATTTATAAAATGCATATAATGTTTTCAACTCTAAATATCCTGGTTATACATGCCCTTAGCCTGATACACAGCACAAATGACCGACACAAGCCAGCGAGAAAGTGTCTGTTTGCTGGCAGGAGCCCCAGCCTTCCCGCCACCGTAACAGCAGAACAGATGGGTACCCATACTGATCCCTTGTGTTCGTTTGATATAGTCCTTGAGGGTCTTACGGACATCCAACAGGTGAGTGCTCATTGCAGAGGTCCCCGATGTGGAAAGCTGGGTAAGTGTAGGAAGTTCGATGGGAACTGTCACATGGAAAGCGTGATCGATCTTCGGACATTAACTATCCTCGAGGCGAATACTGACGTGATCTGGATGGATCACAGTCAGTGCCGGGTCTGCAGACATGGCATGTAAATCACCAACCCTTCTCCCAGATGTGGAAAATGGAAATAGCCGATAGACGTAAGAAAGTTGGTCCGGACAGCCAATTTAGCACGATTGACAAATCCCAAGGATGGCTGGTACGCCTGAGAGCAGGTCGAACACGATCCACGCCAGCTAGGAAGAGCTGCATAAGAGGGTGCTGCCCCAGAAGATCACCATCGACAGGGGTGTGAAAGGTGGAAATAGCGGTGGAGTAGCCACAAATGGTCGAAGCCGCCAAACCTCCTTCCAAACGAGACTGCAGAAACTCCAAAACTAAATCCGTATCTGCAATTCCCCTATCTGAACATCAGCGCGCATAGCGGGACCACCTGTCCTCGTACTGAACGTTTGTCGAATCCTGCCTCGAAGCCAGAATTGAGTCTGCAGGAATTCCACGTGATTCGAGGCTAGACCTGACAGAGGCCAAGCCACCCACTGAATCCGTTATGAGTGAGAATATCCGGTCATAAGGGTAATAGAACAGGAGGCTGAGCCAGAAACCTGAGAATTACCAAAAAACAGCTCTGTGATGGCCAAAGCGGTGCCAGAAGCACAAGTAGCCGAGCTGGCTGGGTGGACAGCTGGGAGAGGACCCGGGGAATGAGTGGTAGTGGCAGGAATGCCCACAGCACCTTGCCCGCCCAATCCAGCAGGAAAGCGTCGGAAGCCAACGCCCTCTGGTCCGGTATTCGAGAGCAGAACACGGGTATCTGATTCGTCCCACCAGACACAAGCAGATCCACCTAGAACGACCCCTTCAACTGGGTGATAACTCCGAATATCTGCCGATCGACCATCCACTCGTGCGGGGCCAGGATCCAGCGAGAGAGGCCGTCTGCTCGCACGTTCTCTAGCCCCAGGACATAGACAGGAATCACCTGACAGTTGCACTGGTCGCACCAGATGAGAAACTCCCACGTCTCCCGAAGGAGCGTTAGGGACACCGTGCCGCCTTGCTTCAGGATGTACGTCATGGCCGTACGGTTGTCTAACTGAAGACGAACCACCTGGCCCTGAACATGCTCCCGGAAGCGCCCGAAAACCAACCACACAGCTCTCAGTTCTAAGACATTGATGTGTAGGTGGGCCTCGGCTTCGGACCAGAGTACGGACACCAATAGACTGCCCAGAACACACACCCCAGCCCGAGAGGGATGCATCCGTTTGAACTGTAAGAACTGGCGTCGGGATTTCCAAAGGGACCCCTTTGGAGAGATTCCCCATCATCGGTCCACCACTGAAGGTGAGGAGACAACCACTGGGAACTGTGAGACACTTCTCCAGATCCTCTGAGGGCCCACAGACCCATCCTCAACCTGCGCCCGCCACATGACAGAGATGGTCGCCGCCATATGACCCAGCAGACAGAGCCATGCCCGCGCCTGTGGCTGGAAGAGGAACGAAAACACCATCTCAGTACTCTTGTTGAGTTCTGAACCGCGTCCCGAGAAAAAACAAGTCCTGGGTGGGTACCAGGTCAGATTTCTTGAGGTTTATAATCCACCTCACACGGTGGAATGTCTATCACTGTGTGAGGTGGCGGGCCTCGCTTCCACAGCGGTAGATGGCCGACACTTACAGTGTACAACACCCAAGAGTTGTGTGTAGCCTTCTCCCACTCCAGAAGGAATAGAGAGAGGCGGCCTCTCACTGGGATGTGTGGTAAGAGAGTGTGAGTAGTCCCCTGCAGCTGAACTGGCTGGGACGTATCCGCTTGAGCAGCCTGCACGTTTAACGGGAGGTCGGGGCAGATCCCCCGCAACTGCAAATAGGCTGCTGGGAGCTAGACGAAGAAGCCTGCTCCTTACATTTACCCTTGGCGGGACGGCTCCTCCTCCTACCCCTGCCAAGCGGCAGAAGCCAACCTGCAGACTCGGGCGTAGGCTGTGCCCCGGAGGAAGAGCTCGCCACGGAAGCAGGGGCTAGAAACTTGTGGTTGTTCCAAGAAGGCCTTGGAATCCTTGAAGGAAGTAGCTGCAGCAGCAGCCTCCTGTATTATCTGCTGAGCCCCCGGAAACAACGTCGCACCCAGCCGAAATGGAAGGGCCAGCAAGGTTTGCTGGATCGCCGCCGATTAGCGTGAGGTCGACAACCACAGTTTGCGCATCCCCATGACTGCGCACATCACCGTCGACGCAACGAACCATAACCAGTCCCTGGTCAGGTGGGCCTATCCCTCGGTAAGTTGACGAAGGAGAACAACATGAGATGATACGTCAACCGTGCCTGCCTCCGCTTCCAGGGCTGACCTCTGAATCGAGAAGTACGTTCCATGGACCACTACCCGTATCTGTTGCATAGCATTCCGATAAACCTTCTCGTAGGTTCGGTATGCTTGCCACAGAGAGGCACCCGATTGGGCAAAAGGTGGAACCAAACGCGCTTGTTTGGTAGCCGGAGCTGAACCCGAGGAAGCCGAGCCTCCCCCAAGGGCGACTGAGGTAAACACACATTCATCCACCACCGGAACCAGGAAGAGGGACTCATCACACAGCTGATACCGCTTCACAAGTTCAAGCAAATCGAACCGGAGCCTAGAGCCAGCTAGCAATGGATCCACAACATCCTGAACCAGTGTGGGAAGAACACAGCTGCGTCTGTGAAGGCTGCCGAGGAGCAAACGCCTCACCCAAGGAGAAAACACCTCAGACGAGTCCTGACAGCTAGTCAGCACCGCAGCTCGGGGTAACATCTGCGCAATGTGCTGACGCACTTCTCACAAAGTTTACTAGAAGCGAAAAGTGCCCTCGGAGTCCTCAACCTCACCCACATCCATCGGCTCGGCTCCCGAGGCCCCAGCCAGAATCCGGATCCTCTGACCCGGCCTGGTGGAAGGCTGAGCCACAGACAACGAAGGGAAGGAAGAGCCTGAGACACTCGCCGCACCGGACACTGACCGCACATCAGGACCCCGGTCCAAAGACGCAGGAGGTAGCCCAGACAGAACTGGCTCCACTACTCTCAAGGGGAATGGGTGCGCAGGGACCAAAACACCAGGAATACTCAACGGTCCCTGCGCAAGCACCGAGAGAGGGACTGGGCGCAAACCCTCCATCAAATTCTTTCGAGCTTTTAGATTTAGAAGGCTTTCTAGCCCTTTTAGACTTGAATGGGGGTGTTTCCTCAGTCGGGTCCCCTCCAGCCTCCCTCAATTCCTTGTAGAAGAGGAAATCAGTAGCCCTTCTGTTTTGGGTACGGGGGGAGAAACCGATGCACAGCTCGCACTCGTCTGGGTTGTGGCCAATTTGTTCAAGACAACATAACCACTTTTCATGCTTATCTTGCGGCGGCAACTTTTACCCACCCACAGGCAACACACGCTGTAAATGCCTGATAGCAAACACGCAACGCATGTAGCTAACGGCCAAATACAACAGCAAAATACATGTATAGAACATTGAAAATATGTGAATGCGACAACGCGACATGGAATAATTGTTATATAAAGCAATATTTCAACCACGTGGCATGCTAAACTTCCCACCATGGAATAGCAACACGTGCATAAACCACAGGAACGCGAGCGTAAATTTTAATACAAAAGTCACATAAATGAGAAATAACTAACTGCAAAGTCAAAAGAGTGTTCTAAAGAACTAGTTGAAGACCATATATACAGTACTCAGACAGACATAGTCGTAGTATGAATACTCTTGGTCAGCACTAGTCAAAGCACGTATATACGATGCGTGACAGCAGAAGGAATGATGATACGGGCCTAGGTGCTTACATGGTTGGCACGCATGCGTGGCAGGAAGGTAACTCCACATGGTGGGGGCCGTATAATAAATAAAAAAGGCTTTTATTTATTGTACAATATTTTTATTAAAACATTGATACAACTGTCACATGACATTTTCAGCCGCAGAAAATGCATATATGTACCCCAAGGACGATCTCTATGAAAAAGAATCTTTGTTAGCTGTTTAATACAACTACCAATTGATTTTAAGCATCATGTACCTACATATCACAGAGCACTGTAGCTGTAGTGAGTGAGTTCAAATATATAGTCACATTGGCAGAATTTCATCCATATTGTGACTAAAACAAGTTTTACATTCATGATTTATAAAGCTGAATCACAAAAACCTGCCATGAAGGACAGCTAAAACTACTAGAATGTCACAGTTGGAGATTTACCGTAAACAAAATAACACTATTTAGACAATACTCAATATAAAAATGTAATTTTCTGACTAAAATTGATGTTTTATACTTATCCTGACTCATGCTAAATGCTTGTCTCCTTCTTCTTGTGAATGATAGTGGAACACTTGAAATCCCTTGAAGTTCCCTTCTAAAAAGCGGACGTATAATCATCACTCACCCACGAGTAGTCTTTCTTGCCTCCTTCGGCGCCCTTTTTGGTCACCTGACCAACCATGTTTGTCACTCTCTCCGTATGTATGCCCGACATCCGGATATACAGGGAAATTCAGAGTGCCATAAGAGGGGAGGTTGGGAGGGCGGACCTCATGAGTCAGGATAAGTATAAAATATAAATTTTAGTCAGACTACCCGTGGGTGAGTGATGATTATACGTCCGCTTTTAGAAGGGAACTCCAAGGGATTTCAAGTGTTCCACTATCATTCGCAAGAAGAAGGAGACAAGCATTTAGCATGATTCAGGATAAGGAAAAATAATGAGATATATATCACCAGCAACTTACTTGGGACCATGGGGACTTACAGCACATTTGCTTCCTGCATGGTACCCAGATCGATGTACACCATCCCTTCAGCCATTGGTGATTGTGCTCAAATTTAGCCATCACTTAAAAACATTCACATAATTAACATAATTCACTACACCTACCTGTGAGTCCTTGAAGAAGTTGTACAACAGGACATCATCAAACTCCAGCCCCTTCGCCTCGTAGATGGTGAGTATGATGCCGTGGCTCAGCTCCTCAGGCATGTTGTTCTTCACGGATTCATTCACTACCAGAATAGCCTGGTGAGCACCAAATTCAATGTGGGACGTCTTCCGCTTGTTGCCCTAGAAGTTAGATGCATCAATTGTATTACCTTCCTTAGACAGGCAGATGTTAATGCCTTCATCTTGAAATGTTATATTGAAACACAACAAATAGTTAGCATTTGGCAAGTACACACAGAATGCATTGTAACAAGTATATATCAACAAATGACATTTCAAACTTTGGGTTGTAAAATGAGCAGTTTCATAAAACACTACCATCAACTATCAATATTCACCTATGATTGATAATTTTGTCTAAAGTTGCATTAAGTAACAACAGAAAGACACATTCCTTCAACTAACACATCGAGCTAGTTAAATTTGATCATTTCTGGGTACAGGGAGCTGCATACAAAAGTCATGAATCAAATCATCACTGGCGAAACATGATCTCATGAAAAATTATTATTATGTTTCTAAATAATCTTAACGTCACAGTCTGACCACACAATCACACCAGGGTGAAACCCTGCTACTCATATACTGTGAGAACAAACACCTCACCTGCAACAGTATAGCTAGGTCTCCAAGACTGCACGACTCCAACAGTATAGGTGGTGGGCCATGGAAAAGCCCCTGATCTTTCTGTAGTCTGTCAAATGATTCTGGGAAGAACTCGACCATCAGGTCCAAAACTGAGGAAGCAAGGGAGAGAATCCCAGCGTGTGACCTGTAATTGTGAGTCAGCTGATAGATTTGTTTGGGTACATTGACACTTCCAAACTGACCCCTAGCATGAAGAGACTTCCTTGCATAGTAAAACAGAGACTTGAGGTCACTGAATCTGAAAGAAATTCCTCTCATGATTCCTTGAGCTGTGTCGCCAGTGAGGAACATATCATTTGGATTCTGGTTAATTCTGAGGAGAACACACAGCTCAGACTGTGTGAAATCCTGGGTCTCATCTACATACAATTGATGAATCACCCATGTCTGTTCATTCATGGATCGTAGACGTTTGTAGATGTTCTGGACAAGATCTGCTTCATCAAACAAGAACTTCTGCTTCTTGAAATGGTCATATCTGAGGTACAGTTCATAAACTTTGTCTCTCTCACCAGTGAAATTGGGAGCACGCTTCTTTCCCAACTCGATGTATTCATCTTTGCTCAAATGTCCATTTGGCTTCAACAAAGCTTCAAAAGAACCCTTTATGAAGGACATGATTTCTGTCCACACAAGCGAGGGGTGGTAATTCACTGACATCTTTTTGAGAATTTTGGGCCAGATTTCCTCAGAAAAGGTTTCATAAGTGACTTCTCGTCTGGGGTCTATTTTCGGTTGATGTGGGGCAGCGTGTACCTGTTCTGGAGCATTCTCTGCTTCTTCATCAAAGTCAACAGCTTCTTCTTCATCCTCATCATCAGAGTCTGGTTCCAGTGGGGAAAATCCAAACAGGTCATCTTGAGTACCCCACCCTTGTACTCTGGCTGCAAGACTTCCATCTTCGTTCCTCTCAAAGAAGTATGGCGGATCAAGAGAGGCATCCAGCATCATCAACAGCTGCTTCGATGTGAGGAACAGTGGGTAGCACAAGTCATCCACATCCTGCAGCCTGTGGGGAAGATCTTCTGCCTCCTTTCCTGCATGGTCTTGGGTCGCTTCAAATGCATGGCAGAGCTCGTAGAAGTTCTTGTGAACCTCTGTGCTCAGGACAGGGTTCTTGGTGACGAAGATCTGATGCAGATGGTCATACTCAGGACCACCAAGATCATAGTTCTCATCATCAGGTTCTTCATCCAAGCATTCAAACACTGGATTATTAACATCTTTGGAAGCAGCTTCAGCATCTGACCCTCCGTCATCAAGTTCTTCATCCTCAGTGTCTTCCTCTGCAATTAGTTGATAATAAAAATGCGAAAACATCCACAATGAGTGAATGAAAGGTATTTTTTCTTGAAATCACACGTTTGGATTATCATTTGGTTTGAGTAGAAAGAGCATGTCAACAGTAAGTGTAAGATACCCTTAATCAAAAGACAATGGGATACCATATCACATGAACAAGAATATTGATTTACTGATAGTTGTATATGCTAAATATCACACTTTCAGCATGTTAACTGATTATGTATTTGACATAGCTCTTCATGCATTGAGAAGCCCTTCAAGATTCCTGTTTTCTGCAGTTTGAAACTGTATAAGAAAATAGACCATCAAGAGCATCTAATGCTCTTAACAATCAAATATTGACAATGTTTGTTCTTTTTGGCTTTAATCAGGAACACAAAGAGCATAAATAAGTGCTCCATAATTTATTTTTTTTGCACTGACAATAAACCTGAAATGAAACTATTCTATGTTTGAAACATGTTACCTGCTTCATCCGATTTCTCATCCTCAAGGAACCGCTCAGGTCGAGGCAGGAAGGGTTCCCCAGAATCTTTAGCCATGACCCAGTAGGATATGAAACTTGTCCACAGCCTGTACAAACAGCATGTGGTCTTGCCAGTTCCACTTCTACCAAGGAGCAGAATCGGAGCCTTCGATCTCAGATGAATAATGGCATCCTCCTTGTCAGTCACCCGGAATGGGAAGTCAATCTTGCGCTCAATGTTCTGAAGAATGATGTTGACAAGTGCTGAGGAAAATGAGTAGAACTTCAGAATGTGGTACTCTGTTTCATTGGCACTAGCTGGTGGGTACAGAAGCATCTGCTGTTTGTCTCTCACAGCCTCAAGGCTAAGATCATCATCCTGTTCTGCAAAGAGCATTGGGTATCGCTTTGTGGTTCCTCCTTCGAACTGGGAGTCTTTAACTCCTTTCAGCTTCTTTTTGAGGATGCATGTCTCCCCTCTACTGTGCGACTTGATGACATTTTGGATTGACCTGTACAGATTGTCATGGTCAAAGACGATATCCCAGACTCGGATGATCTCTGAATAGATCCTCCCTCCTCTGACAGCAAATTCTTGTACCTCTTCAGTCTGAAGTCTCTTGTCAGCTTCTTCACTGCACCGAGCTGAGAAAGCAACTGCAACCTCCCAAATTATCCTTGCAGCCTTCGACAGCTTGGCTTCATACAGCTCCAGTGTGGCTGGTGCATTGGTCACCCTTTTGCGAAGATATGGCCTCCACTCTCCATTGGCTAGCAAAAGGATTCTCCGTATAGCTCGCTGTTTTAATTCTGGGAGAACATGCTTGTCCCGAAGACACTTCCATACATCAGCAGTACACTCCACCTCCCAGGCCAGGTTGTCAAATGTGCTGACATTCACCTCAGACTCTTCTGTTTCTTCATCCTCATCCAAATCCTCTTCATCAAACTTTGCCTTGACATCTGCATCATCATCATCATCATCATCTTCATCATCCAGCCTCCTTTCAGCTACTGTCCTTTCCTTTTTTATTGATTCTGGTCCTTCTGTCCGCAGCCTATTTGAAGCAGCCATTGCTGCAGAAACATCAGGCTTGTCTTTTTCGGGTTTATTCTCCTTGAAAATTGAAATCTCAGGATCTGGTCTCTCATTGATAATCTCCTTGATCCTCTCCCTACTCTGAGCAACCCCAACCAGGTTCACACCTTTCACTCGGATATCCTCAACAGCTGTCTCTCCAAGATCAGCTTCCTCTTCAATCCTTTCCGGGGAAGATTCCTGAGAATCAGTTTTCTCTGTTTTTTTCTGTTTTTCTCTACCAACGGCACTAGCTTTTTTCTGAAAGGTGTCGTTAGTTTTTGACCTCGTGGCTGGCACATTCCCTCCAACAACTCGCAGAAACTGGGCTCGTCTGTCATTTTTGGTGGTGAGGTACTGTATAGCCATCTTGCCTTCCTTGTTGCAGACGTCTGCTGGGACCTGCTGGTTACACAGGAACTCCACAGCTTTCTGGGAATGTTTGTTGTACTTGCATTTGCAAGCCATGTGAAGTAGGGTGTCTCCCTCTCTATTCACAACTCGTGGGCTCAGGTAGATGAACTTTACTACATCAGATTTGTGCAGTTCCAGAAGTCTCTCAAGGAGCGTGAAGTTACCTGAGAACAGAACACAGTACTCTCATGATGAACAAAAAGCACTTTCTGTTGAATATTTTTTTCTATCTTGACATACTGTGAACAGAATTGTTAACAAATGACGGGTATTTGGACTCGTGTATTGTACAATGTAACACAATTTACTGCATGCATTCTTTCATATACATGTATAAAGTCCAAAATAAAGTTTGACTTCTTCAGCATATTTTGGAAAATATTGCGGTCTGTTGCTTTGATCAGAACACATGGTTAATAAACACATTATGTACAGTCAAAGACTACTGAAATTACAGGAATTAGATACTTCTGAATTTCAAAATTTCAATTCCACTTGTCGCTTTGCAGCCAGATAAAATATGTATGATTTTGAAATATCGCAATAAAGCATATTTTCCAAACATAAAGATGAAAACAATGACAAAGATTCACTGGTATTTCAAATCACGGTGTGTCAATAGTCCTGCACACATCTACAAGTAACTGTCTACTCACAGTATGTTTGACAAGTCAACAACAATTATCAGGTTGTCCTAACAACCACACACACAAAGTCTGTGATATGAACACTGGTTAGATTCAACAAAACATAATAATTCTCTGAATAGATGATGTGAATATGATACTTTTTGAGACACTTTTAGCTCACAAAATTATCATCATAGCCACCTTAAATCCATTTATTCCACATATTGGATATTTTAAATATATTCTCATATGTATCCCCACACACCGAATGCTTCACTAAGTGAAATACTTGGGGAGATTCAACTGATCCTAACTGTTTACCTGACAGAATACAGCTAACATCGGAGCACAACCAGCAAAATGCCTACAATTCTGATAAACTTTGGGGCACAAGACAGATTGGCTCAGTGACAATGTCATCCACAAACCTTTATCCTTGTCCAAGGCTATGTCAAGAGCAGCATGTAGTGGGGTGTCACCATATGTCACGCTGATTGTCGAAGGGCTGATGCCGTCCTCAAGCAGATGGAGAACAACACGCACTTCATTGTTGGCAATAGCCCCCTTCATTGCATCAGCTTCCTTCTCCGGTGACAGCTGTGCTCCATATGATTTCAGGAGAGACAGGATCTTCAGTTTCTGGTTCTCAGAGCCCCCAGTTTTTCCTACAATGAGACCCTTGATAGAGATGCCTTTAGCGAATGACTTTGGTAGTCTGTCCGCGCCATACAGTTTGACTGCTGCCTCAATATGCCTCCACCGATCTTTTTCAGCGAACCGTTCCATGATGGTTTTCATTATATGTGGTGAGACTTTCTTCAGGGAATCTGGGAGATCTGAAATGCAAGAGTAAGTGAGTTTAGTTTTACACCGCTTTAAGCAATATCACAGCAGGGACACCAGAAATGGGCTTCACACACTGTACCCATGAGGGGACTCAAACCCAGGTCTTCGGCGTGACGAGTGAAAGCTTTAACCACAACTGATGAACAAGAAATCAATATCACACCTCACTCTGTCCCAAGTTTTCATTAAAAAATATACTGAGAGGATATCCAACAGTAAAAAGACTGCTAATCATAAAATGGGCTTGGACGTACATATAGTATGTGTAAAAGGCGGCTGTGGACCAACAAATTTAAGGAGTAGTATAAGACTGACTTAGTTTGGTTTACACCGCTTTTAGCAATATTCCAGCAACATCACGGCAGGGGGACACCAGAAATGGGCTTCACACATTGTGCCCATGGAGTAGTATAAGAAGGAGAGTTTGGTAATGTTAATCTTGAAACTGAAGGAACAGAAATAGTCAGCATTGCTGTAAGGTTACATGAATCAAGAACTAATCCTGCATGAAATCAAACATTACAGTGGAGCTAAAACTATCATTGATATTTTTCTGCTGTGCATGTGTCGGCAACATGTCCTAGAAAACAAGGGCCATAAACCTGTAAAATATTTATTCTTAAATTAGGGTGCTGAAATTGATCTGTGTATGTATGTCTTTATGATGTATGCAAAATGTCATCCTTGTATCAACAGTGCTTTTAGGAAAATTAACCCTCAATTGACTGGAATTTATTGCTATTACAAATATTCCTAAAAAGCAAAAGACCATCCGCTCGGGCGATGAAAGGAGAGAGTGACAAAACCATGCCTCTGGGTTGGTCACATGGGACGCAGTGGCGGGAAAGTCAAAGGGAGGTAACCCAAGGTGAGTGGTTTTACGTTTGCTTCAGGGAGCAAGGGATTCAAGTTCGAAGGAAAAGGGAGAGCATGAAGTGAAGTGAAATTGGGTTTAACGTCGTGCTTGAGAATATTTCGCTCATATGGCGACGTGCATGCATGTGTATGTGTATGTGCGGCTGCTTATACTAGCCCAGACTTAAGCTGGTTTTATAGTGCTGGCCCACTGAGATACCATGCCGCAGTGAAGCATGAATACTCCACTCAGACACATTGTACTGACTCCGAGCCGACCAGTCCTTGTTGTACCCATTAATGCCGAGTGCCAGGCAGGGACCAACAAGTACCATATATTAACGAACTCGCAACCTTCCGCTCTCCGGGCGGACACTCTAACCACTACACCACAGAGGCGGTCGGGAGAGCATGAGTCAGGATAAGGAAAAATAAATCTTATGTTGCCATCTATTCAGTTTAAGAGATATTGAGGGGTGTTAATTGTACTCCTTAAACAAAACATGGACAGAAAGTGTCAAATTCATACATCTCTCTAATCTTCCCCATCAATGCCCCCTCCCTATCTGTCAACAAAGTATAATAACATCTGTAACAGACCTGGAGTGAGAGTCCTCCCGAGTTCAGCCACTATGTTGTTCAAGCACTTGTCTACTATTTCTTGATGTCTCACTTCTTTGTGTTCCCTCAGCAAGATTCCAACAAACTTTTCAACAGCCTTCTCTGGCTCTTCCTCATCCAACAGCCTCATGGCAGTTTCAAATGAGTCTTCACAACGGTCACACTGTGACGTGTATTGTTTCTTCTTGGCCTGCTTCTTGTTGCTTTTAGGGACAGGCTGTTTGGACTCCTGCACATGAGACTTCTGGACAGGTGCGGGTGGTTCCTGTATGACGCCTTTCTGTTTCCGGAATACAGACTTTCCATCCACAGCTGGGGAAAAAGTAATCAAATTAGCATGCTCTTTCACCTCTACTAATGGTCCACAAATACAGTAACAGAGGATAGCAGGAATGAACCGAACACATTGATGCAATACCACTTTTGAACAGTGTTTTACTTGTAAATGGGAGCCTGTTTGACTAAAGCCCAAACAAGTGACATATCAGATGTTGAACACAAGGATCATAACAAGTTAGAATCCTGGATTCAAACGATTATTCATCAGATCTTGGCACCCTCGAGTGATACTAATTTGCACAGAAATGCCTTTCAGGACTGGGCATCTGTGCTCTTGGTTAGGAAAGTAGCAGGAATGGGCACCTGTACTTTTGGTTAAAAAAACCCCAGAAGATATTCTTACATAGTGAAACAACTTAATTTGGCAAGTCACAACTCACCTCTTTCCATGGCCCGCATCATGATGTGTTTTGCTTCATTTTCCCCGGAGGGAACACAATCGAGGGCTGTCTGACTGCATCTGTTCTGTATCAGTGGACTGATGTTTTGTTCAACAAGGAAAATCAATAACTGGACTTTGATGTCAGGGTGAAGCTTTGCAGAGCAAACCATATGTAGAGCAGTGTTTCCCATCTCATCTTCAATATTCATCTCGCCTTTCTTGATTACAATATTTTCAAACAGCCATTTCAGCAACTCCATGTCAGCTGTGAAAGACATCAATGACATGTCAGACTTACAACTTTATACATTGTGATGATTTACTTTTTCAGGGGTGTACCTCATGTCTCCGATCTACTTGATGCATGTGAAACATTTATTAATCTCGGGACAGGTATGACTGAATCCAGAGCTAACCAGCTTGGTCAACAACATGTGTATGTGTGGGTAGGTGTGGATCTGCACTCAATAATATTCAGCAATATTACCTTTTTGTGATTAACATTATGAAAAGTGATCCAACATCAATCTAGTTACTGAACAATCCCTGAAGGTCCGGGTTAGAATTGATCTTCAGTAACCCATGCTTGTCATAAGAGGCGACTAACGGGATCGGCTGGTAAGCCTCGCTGACTTGGTTGACAGTTATAAAGCAAGTACCATCTATGCATACAGTTATCGTTTTCATTGATATCTCAGTTTGTATTTATTGACAGAAGCTACAATCTTGACACAACGGCTACATAACCTCATTCAGCCTAAAAGTGCACAATACATAAAATGAATTCAATTGATTAGGTTGTCAAGACGTCGAAAGTAGTCGATTTCTCAGCTTTTCTGATTCGCACCGAAAGACGTGTCAAGAAATGATTCAAATGTAAATAAGATATAACGTGTCATGACCAAATGATATAGGGGTCATAATCCATGACCATTCAGCTTATAAAACAAGTCAATTTCATAACCATTTACTACTTGGAAATATCTAAATCTTACAAAGTTTGGGACTCACTTTCTTCCGGGATCGACTGTCTATCGGGAAATGGTAGTTGATGACGACCAACTTCTGGTTGAGCATACACAGGGCTTACCCCCTGTGGTGACATTATGTCAAGGAGTCTGACAAACCTTTCATCAAAGGGGAGGTAATTCAATTGTCACTTACCTGTAAGGAAGACAATGAAGACAGTAGCATGCAGATATGTATCCCCCTCTTTGAAGCGGAGCGTGTGGTGATTGGCCTCACACTTCAGGAAGTAGAGGATCAGCTGAGATCCCCATCGATGTCGTTGCAGGTTGTTTTGGTCACACAAGGGTTTAAGGTCATAGTTCACCTTCACACTGTTGGTCTTAGCCACAGCAAAGAATTTGTAAGCGTAGTGTGCTGCCCCCCACTGAGCTGTCTTCATGATGATGTCATATGCCACCTTGGCCCACAATTCCCGGCGAACAGTGTTCAGAAACTGGATTGGCTCACCTGGCAAAACTAGAACAGAAGGTACAGAAATGAGAATATGTTCTTCACACTGTGCTAACACATTTGCATGACCACATCGTATGACTTGAACAGAAAATGCACTAAAACATTCACTTTGTTCAGGGGTGTGACACTATTCATTCATATTTAATATTCCCATAATACCGTGTATATCTGGTGAAAAGGGAAAAAGCCTTGTCATATGTCTTTAACTGTCTCATAAAACCTGTAAGTTGAAAAGTTGGTATATATAAAAACCAGAACAGTCAATACTTTAGTTTCAACTGTTCTGTCTTCAAAAACCAGCTAAGCGAGTGAGTGACTCAGCAATATACCAGCTATATGGCGGACCTGCTAAGCAATGTGAATGTATCCACTAGACAATTAAATGATTGACTCCATCCATGTTGTAGGGGTGCAATGTTGAGCAAGCTATCAACGATTTCATCAGCCCTAACCACCCAATCCTTTAGTCTGCATGGTGTGATGGCAACAACAGACCTAGCACCATTCTTCTACGGGTCTTGTGATTTATTGAACCTGTAAACCTGGATAACTTACTCTTGGAACTTTGGCTGACAGTCATCAGCAGATCAGCCAGGATCTCCTTCTGAATCTTCTCAGCACCATCTGAACTCAGACTGTTGTAGGCATTCACAAAGGCACTTATTGCCTGGTCCGTCCTCTTCAGTGTCTGCAGGGATCGGCCAACTCGCATGTGGGCCTACAGAATAGCAGCAACTATGTTGGTTGTTCCTAGCAGGGAGGTTAGGATCTTACTGAACAAAGTGAATTACTTCTGTGTGACAATCACTCAAGTGTGTGCCCTCCTGTTTTTCCCTTTATACCGTATGTCAACATTCTTTCTATTATGTCAATTACCATAACGTAATTTTTCAAGTAAAATTGATATTTATATACTTATCCTGACTCATGATCTTTTGCTTATCTCCCTTTCCCTTGCAAATGGTAGTGGAACACTTGAATTCCTTGAAGTTCCCGAACCGGACGTATAAATACTCACCCACGAGTTACCTCCCTTTTCCTGCGTAAACAGTCACGTGACCAGCCTTACTTATCACTCTCTCCTGATTTTTCTGCCCCAGCACTTGGATCTGCTGTGCAATCCGAGGTGTTTCCAGCGGGGAGGTCAGGAGGGCTTGACCTCATGAGTCAGGATAAGTACAAAAAAATCCATTTTACTTGAAAAATTAAATATTTTTTCTTATCCTGACTCATGATCTTTTGCTTATAGAATCCGACGGATTGGTGATGGGTCAGGCCACTTCCTGGATTCATCAGCTGTCCTTAGATACGTTCCGTATCCCCTCTATGGGAACTGCGCAGCGGCATTTCCGAGATGCTATTCTTCCAACTTCCGTTATAACTCAGGGGGACTACTTCTTGTCTTACTTCCGTCTCAGACAAGTTAAATCATCTTGATTCATGTGGCTTCAGATATACTAGTATCTTCTTATTACTAGATATCTTATAACAACCCATAGATTATGATAAGATCTTTATCATAAATGAGTTGCGACCCCTTCACGTACAGGTAAGATCGTTACCCGTACAGGATCTTTAATCACTCATGCTAGCCTGTCCTAGACTGTGCGCATGGACTTTCAAACTAATACTTTTCCTTAGTAAAAGTTATCAACAAGTCAACGTGATAAAGGGTGAGATTTTCCAACTCAGCGCGTTTGTGGAGCCGTTAGTAGCTGTGCTACAACGAGAGGCCCAAATTGGTGAATGCCTGAGACGTCTTCAGTGGCTATGTCTCGGAGGTAGTAGTTGGCAAACACTGTCTCCGACTTCCAAAAGCAGCCCTCCATAATTGCTGATATAGAGCAATTTCCATGCAGAGCTAGTGTTGACGCCAATGCTCTGACTTCGTGTGGGTTGGAAGCTCTTGGAGGTTCTAGTCCTGCTGCTTTATAGGCTCTCAATATGACGGCTCTCATCCAGAACGATATCGTCGTTCTTGAAACTTTTGCTGATGTCTCTGTGGATAATGGGATGAACAGGCGCTTGAATTTTCGTCTCCTTGTCTTAGTCTTTGAAGATATATCTTCAGGGCTCTGACCAGACACAAGGATAGGTCTTCTATATCCTCTGGGCCCGAGGATTGTAGATAGCGCTGGTACGTGGAACTGTCTATCTGGCTGACCAGGTAGCTGGTTCTTGACAATGAAGTCCCATCTTAGTCCTAGATGAACTGCAGCATGTTGCCCCGAGTCTAATCTGGTTCGACCAAAGTCCAGCGCATGTATCTCTGATATACGATCTGCCGTGGTTAGCGCAAGCAGGAACAGAGTCTTCTGTGTCAGCAGCTCGAGTGTAGTGTGGTCTAGAGGTTCGTAGGCATCACTGGTAAGATGACGTAGAATTACATTCAGATCCCAGGCCGGAGCTCTGAACAGCTTTTGCTGGTCCTCCAGTTGAAAAGATCTCAGCAGAGCAAGTAATTCTAGTACTTTCGTCAACTTGCTGCCTGTTTTCATGGTAATCACTGTACTGATGGCGGGCGAGGTATCCAGATAATGTAGAACCTTTCAGATGTCTCAACTGTCTAAGATGACACAGGTATTCCGCCACTTGAGGATGAGTAGCTTTCATCGCAATGAAGTCTTTCCGCCTTGCTTAACTCTCAAACTTCAGCAACTTGTCATCACAGAGGTTACAATAATCTGCGTAACGTTAGCATTACTGCCTTGGCTTCCCTGGCGGAGTATCCTCTTTTATTCAAACATGTTTTGATACAGTCCACACGTGTAGCTGGAACAGTGTTGGGTTCCTGTGGACTTGCTTGGTGTGCGGATGTATGAGTAGGTTCGGCCAATCTGATAACTTGATAGTTGGACTTCCGAGATCTTCTATTAGGTCTAGGGACCATACTCTTGCTGGCCAGTATGGCGCGACCAAGGTCCGTTGTAGGGCCTGTGTCTGTTTGATCTTCAACAATACTTTCGGTAGTAATATCAGTGGTGGAAACGCATAAGCGTTTAGTCCTTCCCATGATATGTTCAGTGCATCTGTTGCCCAGGCTTGAGGATCTGGAACTGGTGAGACAAACGTCTGTAGTTGTTTGTTGAACCTCGTGGCAAACAGGATCATGCAAGGGGATCCTATTTCCCTTATGATGAGCCGAAATGCTTCTGGATGGAGTATCCATTCCTTAGGTGACAGGTGCAGAGGTCGGGAGAGAGCATCTGCCAGCACGTTCTTGACTCTGGGTATGTGACACGCCTTTATCCAGATGTTTGCCTCCTCCATGATGTCAAACAACTGGAATGTGAGCTGTAGTAGGCTTGGTGATCTTGTAGATCCTTGCCAAGTTATGGAGAATGCCACTGTAGAGTTGTCCGTGTGGACCATCAGCATTCTGTTGATCAGCGAGCTCGACCATAGTTGTAAGGCATTGATCACAGCTTTCATCTCCAGCAGATTGATGTGAAGATGCTGCTCTGTTTGGACCACTTTCTTGATGCAACTTTATTGTTGAGATGTGCACCCCAACCTTGTTTCGATGCGTGTACGTAGAGATGTGTGTTGAAGGCCGGCTCTTGTAAATAGGTCCCTCCTGCAGACGTTCGACCTGTGGGTACACCAAGGTAGGTACCTCTTAAGATTGTCTGGCAGCAAGATAGGGTAGATGCTATCCAGATGTTTTGTCAGGAACCATTGCAGCGGCCTTAGTTGTAATCTTCCTGTGCGAGTCAAGTCCTGCGCCGAGGTTAGTAGACCGAGTAGACATTGCCATGTTCAAAGTGTTAACGGAGAGATGACTGCTTGTGGAATCATGGCTTGTATCTTGACCCAATGATCTTCTGGGACCACAATTCGATTCTGTGTTGTGATAATTCTTATTCCAGCAATTGAAGATCTTGTTTGATTCTAACTCCAACTTCATCAGGTTCACTAGCCAACTTATTTGTGAAGTTCAGCTGCTGTCTGAGTTGATTGGCACTTTGAAGAACCTGTATGCCATCCTCCAGATAACCGGTACTGCGTAGACCTCGAAGCCGACGATATTCCAAACGGTAGGACGTTCCATTGGAAGTGCTAACCTCTGATTGCAGTGATGATACATCATTCTTCACCTTATATATGCAGGCGATCTGTGTTGATCAGCATACATCGAAGCATTATCTATTTATAGCAAGGCTGGCTCCAGTGTAGCATCGCAGGGGACAGGTACTCATACCGACTTTTATCAGCAACAACTTCCAAAATAAACATCGTTCATCCTGCTGTCAAGGCTAGACATCTATTAGATTCCCATGATGATAACAGGCCGTAGTTGTATACTGTTTCCAAGGTTGCCGATGAAGTATTCCCCGTACCACAGGTTTGTTTACAAATCAGAAAACATGCTGGAGCCTGCTCTGTCAGTGGGAGGTGTTGTCTGACGTGGGCCAATCAGCTTCCAAGCATGACGTCACAGGTGTTGTAGCAAGTTGGCCTCCATAAAATCAGATGCAATTAGTTGGTTGAGTAAAAGCGAGTGTAAATCTTAGCCGTTCATATAAACCTCTTGAATAAGGGTTGCTCCAAGTGTAAAATCTTGTTCAGTGATATAAATGAAGTATTCCCATTGTGGATAACAAAGGCATGACAAAGGAGGCTGTCGAGACGTATGTCTGTATGGATCTTGAAGAAATACCGATGTTGAATCTAGTTGATAGGATACAAAATACTAATCCCCACGCTGAGTGACGTGTGTTAATACTGTCATCTGTAGGTCAGTTCAAGTATACTTGAAGGCGATGTTAAACTTAAGCCCTTTACAAAGGTCGCCTTAAGGTTCTCCAGTACTTGAGACATCGGCTTCATAGGTGATATCATATTGGAGTCAAAGTCAGCAGCGTATATGCAGTACGTCTCTGTTGGGTTGGAGTGAGTGAGTGAATGACAATATCCACAGGCCATCTGCTACCCAGTATAAGACCTCAGCATCCGTATAGATGAAGTGATTCCTTTCATCAAGTAGGTTGTTGTCACAGGTACAAGGTTTGTGCAGGTTGTAGAGTTGTGCAGACTGTAAACTGTAGAGATCGCTCATGTTGTAGATCTTTTTGTTGAGTTTTAAACTTTGACAAGACCATCCATGTTCATCATTGCTTCGTTTTGTTCAGCCGTATGGTAATGAGTCGACGTCAACATCCTGCCTGATGATGTACGGGTTTGTTAACCCTAGGGTTCGCGAACCCTGTAGATGTCTGTGTTGCTGTTATCTGCCTGAAGATCTGAGAGTTCTCGAACTTTGTAGATGTCTGTAGCTTTCTCAAAGCTGTGCGTAGGTTAGAACGTACCTTGGATATAGGTAAATCGGAGGAATAGTCACCGAGTCAAAGTCATCATTATGCATCTTATAAGTGTAGACTTCATCTATATCCTTAGAAGGAGACTCCAAGTTCAAACCATTGGCTACCCAAGCTGTAACCTCTGAGTCCGGGAAGACGAAGTCTGGTTATTCATCAGTTATCTCCTGATCGGTAGAGCTATGCCTCCGCGAATCATCCTTCTGCAAACCTGTATCCCTTCTCGAACCTCCATCATCCTTTCGCGAACTGAAGATTCTTCCCTTCGTGAACGTCTATCTCGAACCTCTATCTGTAGATTCATCTCATCGCGAACCTCTGTGATGTGAGCTTTCTCTTCGCGAAGGCCTGCTGCTAGATGTATCCTTTCGCGAACCTCTGTGATGTGAGCCTTCTCTTCGCGAACCTCTGTCTCGTGATGAGTGACTTCGCGAGCGTCTGTGAGAGAGATGAGATCTCGATCTAGAGCGGCTAGGTGTAGGAGACGGTTCCTTAGATGTTCTCGAAGGTTGAGGGTTCCCAGATGAAGAATGATGAGTAGGCATCTCATGTCTTCTATCCTCCTCCAAGATGACAGAGTCGTCTGACTGTGGAGACCTTCGCAAAGGAGTACGTTCTATATGTAGTCTTAAGACGTAGTTCTCTGAGGAGTAGGTTCGCGCAGGTCAGTAAGTTCGTGCAGGTCTGTAGGTTTGCGCACAATGTCAGTAGATGAGAGGCTTTGCCGAGCCTTAGCTTCTTCCTCGAACCTACGTTCCATTATGGCCATCATCTGGTTGGTGAATTGTCTCATAATTTCACCCGGATCAAGTTCTGCGTTGATTGAAGCTTCTGCGGGTGTAGAAGCGTTCGCGAACGCTGATGAGTTGTGTGCCTCGACTTCACTCCGTTGAGAAGTTGGTGGTAGTTCGTCAAACAGCTGGCCTGCTGTTACTGTTGCAGGAGACAATCTAGTAGTCGTGGAAGTCAATTGAGTCGCTGATCTTGTAGGTACTTTGGTTACATCAAAAACGTCTACTTCATGCAGAGGTAATATCTCTTCGTTGAAGGATTTCTGATGCGCTGAGTTACTAGGCCGCGTAGATTTACCCTCCGATCTGGTAACAGATGCTTTCTTCTGCAACGTAGAAGAAGACGACGTCTTTTTCTTAGCTTGAGTAGGAGACGACTGCGTTGTAGCCTTCTTCTTGGCCCCCGTACCAGCAGACTGCCCCTGCAACGTACTCAACATAGCACCAGTATCATGAATTTCAGCAGCAGCAAGCAACATACGGTTTGCAGGCTGATCTCCTGTTTTATCAGCCGTGACTTGAGATGACTTCCTCACCCGATCCATGGCATGTCTATAGATATAAGACAAATACTGATTAAATTGTAGATTTGATAAATCAACACCATAAGTACAGCACTAGCTGGAAGAACATGGTTTTATGCACAAAAGGCATTGGGGGTGAGGATCAGCCACGGATAACCTGTGCCTGCAAACACTGCAAGATTTCATGAAATGTAAACAAAGTTACATAACGATGAAATTATGACACAAATACAAATAATTTTTACAACATTTGTACATATAATACATAGTAGTTATTGCCAAACCACACACAGCATAATTTTGAAGAATAAGACATATATAAAAAGGATATAATGCCGTATATGGGACTCCAGTGCTCACCCAACCATCCACTTGGGCAAAAAGGGAGAGAGTGACAAGTAAGGCTGGTCACATGACTGTTTACGTGGGAAAAGGGAGGTAACTCATGGGTGAGTGTATTTTTACATCCGCTTAGGGAACTTCAAGAGATACAAATGTTTCACTACCATTCGCAAGGGAAAGGGAGATAAGTAAAAGATCATGAGTCAGGATAAGAAAAATATATAACTATTTTGTGAAAGTGCATCACACCTATGTGAACCTCACCATCACACCTCTGTACACCCGATCATCACACGCCTGTAAACCATATCAAACCTGTACATCCCATCATAAATCATTAAACCCCATCACCCCTGTACACCCAATCACACCAAATCTCACCTGTATACCCAATCACACCTGTACACCCAAGCACACCTGTACACCCAAGCACACCTGTACACCCAATCACACCTGTACACCCAAGCACACCTGTACACTCCATCACTCCTGTACACCCAATCACACCTGTACACCCAAGCACACCTGTACACCCAAGCACACCTGTACACTCCATCACTCCTGTACACCCAAGCACACCTGTACACCCAATCACACCTGTACACCCAATCACACCTGTACACCCAAGCACACCTGTACACCCAAGCACACCTGTACACCCAATCACAACTGTACACCCAATCACACCTGTACACACACCTGTACACTCCATCACTCCTGTACACCCAATCACACCTGTACACCCAAGCACACCTGTACACCCAAGCACACCTGTACACTCCATCACTCCTGTACACCCAATCACACCTGTACACCCAAGCACACCTGTACACCCAAGCACACCTGTACACTCCATCACCTGTACACCCAAGCAACCTGTACACCCACACCTGTACACCCAAGCACACCTGTACACTCCATCACTCCTGTACACCCAAGCACACCTGTACACCCAATCACACCTGTACACCCAATCACCTGTACACCCAAGCACACCTGTACACCCCATCACTCCTGTACACCCAATCACAACTGTACACCCCATCATACCAGTACACCTAATCACACCAGTACACCTCATCACACCAGTACACCTCATCACACCTGTACACCCCATATCACCTGTACACCCAATCACACCTGTTCACCCAATCACACCAGTACACCTCATCACACCTGTACACCACATCGCACCTGTACACTCAATCTCACCTGTACACCCAATCACATCTGTACACCCAATCACACCTGTACACCCAGTCCTACCTTATGCCAATGGCAGTCATGTGCCACACTCTCCTTGCTGTCATCCAGTGCCTCTTGTGCCATGTTCCTCTTCAGGTAACACTCAGCTCTGTTCCCATACAGCACTGCCAGGTTGTGGTCGTCCTCCTCGCTGAACATATTGGCCAAGCTGCCCGACTTCTGCGCTTTGTTCATCATTATATCTATAGCCTTAGAATAGAAAGCTATTGCATCTTGGTAATTCTGACCCTGGAATTCACGATTTCCTTTCTCTTTCAGTGTCTTTGCATCTTCCACTATTGGAGCTGGAAACAAAGGCATTTAATAAATATAGGTGGAATATGAGATGAACCACTTTTTTTTATCACAAGTGAATACAAATAGAATGTAAAGAGAAAAATCAAAACACTGTTTAAAATGAAAACAAAATCTAATATGTCCAAGAATTTTCTATTACTTGAGAATGTTTTGCACATTATCAATTCAACTTTGAAGAGAATGTAACCACTACTGGTATGAAAGGCACATATTTACACAATTTATACAAACCTGTAGAGGTTATGAATTCTTTTTCAGAAGAAGTCCTCCTTGGGGTACATATAAGCATTAAAATGTCCATATTAAATCAGTTGTAACTATATTTTTGTCTTGTGAGACCACCCCTACAGGGCCCCACCGGACCCCCTACAGCCAAGAGCAGGTAACTCTCGCCATCTACCTGGTACCTCAAGGTGGCCGTACCCCAAGGAGGACTTTCTTCAAAGAATTCATAACCTCTACAGGTTTGTATAATTCTTTTTCAGAAGAAGTCCTCCTTGGGGTACATATAAGCATATGACAGACTCCCAAAGATATTTGAGACGAGAGTGGCATTCTTTCTGGCAACAACTAAACCCGTGGTGGAGTGAAATCTACAACCGATACGGAAATAGAAAAAACACACACTTACCGAGCCACCTGACCGCTGATGTCAATCAGGCGGAGGCGTGGCTAGGGCGGGAACTAGAGAGCACAAGCTTATACGTCAATTGGCTCAAATCAATTATGACATAAAACCACACCCCCAACCACTACAATGGAAAGGAATGTATGGGGACATGCCGAAACAACTTCCAACCCTAATATAGCCCGAACCAGAGAAGCGTGGCGAGAGGTATATGGGTAGGGAAAGCGTAAAAAACGCTTAAAAGCCAATAACCCAGGAGTCGAGCTAATAAGTACTGCAAACTAATGCTCGAATGCACCCCTCCTGTTTGGAAGAGGGCTTGCCGGGACCTCGATAAAACCCAGAGAAATATTAGCCTCGCTAAAAACTTTCTGAGGAAATCGAACGAGTATACACGCCATGCATTGTACGAGTGAAAAACAGGATAAAACACCCCACACCAAACACTCTCGGCGTGAGGAGGGTAAGTGTAGACCACCATTCCACAATGTGCTGATTAACACAGACTCTCAAATACCGAAGTCTCGGGAAGAGGGAAAAAACTGTTAGCGTACAAAAATCCCCTGAATAGCGAAAAGCGTAGCTGAACATGTGTTGGCTCACTATTACACTAACCTGTTCACGTGACATGCAGCTAAAAGAGATGCATACCAAACAGTGACCTGTGGGGGGTTCGTACCCAATTCCATCGCAAGACAGGTTAATAGCATATGACTGGTATAACGTTCAAAATCGGCCCCGCCCTCTTGCCTTTAAGTGAAGAGGACGTAAGGGACGCATGACACCCAAACCCGACCCAACCCGAAAGGGTGGTAAGGCTTATACGATGTAGTGATATGAACCATATCGACATTGAACACAGAACTGATACCAATGACCAGTTACTCACTTGGTCAGGGTGGCAGGACACTCTCCACTGGAGAGAACCGAAAGACCGAACCGAGCACGATCCTTAGAATGCGTATCAAGTAGGTAATGGCGAATAAAGGCGTTCTGCCGGCTCCAAAGAGCGACAGAACTGATCTCTTCATTGAGCAGTGCCGCTGTGTATTGCCAACAAAGCGGCATCTGCCCTACCCAGTATGCCTTCAACCCCTCGGAGGAAGGTAAACCTTAGCATTGTAACCGAACAATTACGGAAACAAGCCAACGAGATAAAGTCCGCTTGCTAGCAGACTCCCCAGTCTTTCCGCCACCAGACAGAACACATGGGTACCAGTACGGATCCCTTTCGTTCGTTCGTTACAGTCACGGGTGAGCAATCGAAAGATTGGTCCCCGGTGTGGAAGGCTGGGTAAGGGGTGGAAGTTCGATATGAGCAGCCACGTGGAAAGCAATATCGAACTGAGAGTGGTAGGTATACGGGAGGCGAATACGGACATGATCAGTATAAAATACTGTCAGTGTCAGGTCAGTGGGTATCACATGCATGTACCCGTCCTTCTACCAGAGCTCACCACCACAAGTAAAGCTGTCTTCCACGTCAACAAGTGAAGTGAGAGAGACGATATACTTGAAAAGTCAGGGCCAGACAGCCAATTGAGAATAATTGGCAATTTTAAGGTGGGCTGAGTTGCCGCCGAGGCGGTCGAACCCTGTTCATGCCAGCTTCGAACCGCTGTACAAGAGGGTGCTGCCTAGGCAGAGCTCCATCGAACGAGGTATGAAACCTGGAAATAGCCATGGAGTACGCGGGAATGGTGGAGGTCATAAGGCTCTCAACCAAAACGACGTTATAGAAACTCCAATATCCGAACTAAATCTGCACACCAGCGCACCCCACCTATCAACAAAAAAATATAGTTACAACTGAACGGGTGTCGAATCCCGCCTCGAAGACAGAATTGTGTCTGCAACGCGGCTGCAGGAATTCCGCGTGTCTGGGGTTAGACCGACAGACAAGCCGACCCCGAGATTCGGTGTGGCTCCCCGTTCAGAGTGAGAATGTCTGTCTGAAAAGGTAATTCGAATCCCAGCGTGCGGGATCGAACACCAACTGAACACCAATCGCCCCAACCCGGAGGGATGTATCTGAGAGCGACGGTGAGCGATAGTGTCTCCAGGGGTAGCACGCGTCCGTCTAACAAGAACCGAAGGTGAGGTGAGGTGAGGTGAGGTGAAATTGGGTTTTACGTCGTGCTTGAGAATATTTCGCTAATATGACGACGTGCATGCGTGTGTATGTGTATGTGCGGCTGCTTGTACTAGCCCAGGCTGAAACTGGTTTTATTGTGCTAGCCCACTGAGATACCATGCCGCAGTGAAGCATGAATACCCCACTCAGACACATTATACTGACTCTGAGCCGACCAGTCCTTGTTGTCCCCATTAATGCCGAGCGCCAGGCAGGGACCAACAAGTACAATATTTTAATGTCTTTTGGTATGACGCTGTCGGGGATCGAACCAGCGACCTTCCGCTCTCCAGAACCGAAGGTAAATCTTGAAATCAGGGTGCAATGGAACATGGAGGTACGCAACCTCAAGGTCGATTGAGGTGCGCCAATCCCTTGTCTCGACAGATGAGATCACCGAGCGGTGTCTCCATCTTGAAGGACAGTACCTCAATTAACCTGTTCAGTTCTCAGAAACAGTCCCATGCGCCATAGGCCCATAACCGCACTCATCATTTGGCTGGCACAGCTACAATGCAGTCCCTAGCCAGATGAGAGTTGACCTCCATCAGATGCTGCCCAGAGTCGCCGATGAAAAATCACCGGCGCTCTTTCCCCTTTCCACCAGCTCCCTTAGCAGAGCTGAGAGATGCGCTGAGTGGAGCATACAGCGTTGAGCTGTTAAGGGGAAAGAACAGCAGACTGACGGTAGAGTGTGAGGCCTTGTCCCGGATGCCTTGTTGGAAGCAGGCTTCCCCAGGAGGTATTCGACGTGGATAACACCTGAGGCAACACAGGGGATCTTCGCCGTACCGGGGCCGAAGCCTAGGTCGGTGCTAGTCCGATCCCCGGTCCCAAGGCACATGGGAGTAGCCTGGCAATGCAGGGTTCCCCTGGTGTAAACAGGTAGACCTCTGAACGTCAAGGTGATCAGCAGCTCGGTAGCTCTGTCACACTGAACAGCCTCCTGGCCTGGGCGTCGATAGACATCAGGCCGAGACCTGAGCTATCGGTGCCGGGGATCTGCGCCGTACCGGGGCTGAAGCCCGGGTCGGTGCTAGTCCCCAGGTTCAGAGAGACCAAACCCCGGTCCCGAGACACATGGGTGTAGCCTGGCAATGCAGGGTTTCCCTGGTGTACACGGGTAGACCTAGGATCGTCGAGGTGATCGGCAGCTCTGTCACACACAACAGCCTCCTGAGCTGGGCGTCGATAGAAGCCCGGGTCGGTGCTAGTCTCCAGGTTCAGAACGTCCCCAGAGCCGAAGCTCGGGTCCGATCATCCTCGGGAGGTTGGAACCTCCCCCAATTGATGCGCCTGTGCAATCTCTACACGTAGACAGGGTACCAATCTCCTCTCGGAGTCTGGAAACCACGTCTGAGATAAGAGCGTGCACTGACGATCTCTGCTGCTGCTATAAGTTAGTGTACCAACATTGTTTGTGGGGGAGGCGTAGGTGGGGGAACGATAAAGGGATTTCCTTAGAAACCTTTCATCAAATTTTATTCCCCACCTTAAGCAGATTAGTGAAAAACACAAGAAGATAAAGTCATCAATATCCCCCGCAATGGCAAAATACTCTTCATGATTATGTCTACGAGTTATGATTATGTCAAATATTTAGGTGTGTACATTGAAAAGTGGAAGGAGAGTATTCAAAGGTTTTTAAAGTTCTGCTCCAGAAAGGAGCACTATCAACAATTTCAGTCTATGTCAAACTTGTTGCCATGGAAGTGCCAAAAATAGTTTATTCAGAAATCCAAAACTACCAAAAGGCACCAGTACACCACCAGACCAATCTATGTGCCAAGTTTGGTGAAGAAACATTGAACGGTTTTAGAGTTCTGCTCCGAAAAAGAGCACAACCACCAATTTCAGTCTAAGTTGAACTTGTTGCCATGGAAACGCCAAAAATATTTAATTCAGAATTCCAAAACTACCAAAAGCACCAGTACACCACCAGATCTATGTATGTGCCAAGTTTGGTGAAGAACATTGAACGCTTTTAGAGTTCTGCTCCAGAAAAGAGCACTACCACTAATTTCAATTTTAGTCAACTTGTTGCCATGGAAATGAATTACTCAACGACGACTTACCACAAATTAGCTGAAATGAGAGAGAATTAGGCAAGCCTACAATATAATATGCAAACATAATATTTGAACTCCATACTACAAGCTACCAAGAACATGTAGCAAGGAAACCACGATCGCGCGTGCGTAAAGAAAGGAACCATACATACAGATTGAGACTCTTTAACACTCATCGTATCGGTAGGAGAGCAAACTCCAAACGAACACCACGCACGTCTATTCAACTGAACAACAGAACGAAAAGTGAGGTACGAGGTAGACGGCAGAGTTACCTGCTCTTGGCTGTAGGGGTCCAGTGGGGCCCTGTAGGGGGGGTCTCACAAGACAAAACAAGTTTTTTGTTTTGTAAATATTTTATTGAAAAATATAGTTACAACTGTCGTAGGATTTAAAATGGACATTTTAATGCTTATATGTACCCCAAGGAGGACTTCTTCTGAATAAGAATTAGAGATTGTGAACTGACCGATGCCGTCTCACGAAACATGACAATTAGTTAACGGCTGTCTCAAGGTTCATGTAGTTTGGAGGGGTGAATGAGTTGGGGTTTAGCAATATTCGAGCAATATCACACCACAAATGGGCTTTACACATTGAACCCATGCAAGGAATCGAATCCGAACCTTTACTCATGATAAAGGCTATGAGTTACATTAAGTGACATTCATAACATTTCCAGTCAGTGTAAGGAGGCTGCAGCGTATGTACAATGCAACTGTAGGTGACATACTGGGTGAAGTCAGGAGAAATGAGGTTATCACTGGGTTCAGGATTACTGCATAGAAGTTGAAACATCAAACACTGGGATCTTCATAGGAGGACAACACCTGTGATTCATTTCTAGTCCCTCAGGGTCATGTCATGTCAGACAAACCTACCATTTGCTTACTGGAATACATATAGTGAATTGGCACCAAACAGCATCAACATCAGTGAGTGAGTGAGATTAGTTTCACGCGGCACTCAGCAATATTCCAGCTATATGGTGGTGGTCTGTAAATAATCGAATCTAGACAAGACAATCCAGTGATCAACAGCATGAGCATCGAACTACACAATTGGGATACAATGATATGTGTCAACCAAGTCAGCGAGCCTGACCACCCGATCCCGTAAGTCGCCTCTTACGACAAGATTTATGCCGCACTCAGCAATATTCCAGCTATATGGGAGCGGTCTGTAAATAATCGAGTCTAGACCAGACAATCCAGTGATCAACAGCATGAGCATCAATCTGCGCAATTGGGAACCGATGACATGTGTCAACCAAGTCAGTGAGCCTGACCACCCGACCCCATTAGTCGCCTCTTACGACATGCATGGGTTACTGAAGACCAATCCTAACCAGGACCTTCACTGGTCAGCATCAACATTAACCAATGCAGCCACGTAATAAAGCTGATCACCAGATCCCAGTATTTTCTGTAGATTTCAGTCAGACCTAAAAGTGAATCTGAATAGTGAAAAATACCATAAGTTTTCTTCCTGAGTTCCTTGTGGAGTTGACTGTGCGGGGCACAATATCTGTTGGCTTTCGTCCAAGTCGATCCTGCAGAGTGACGTCAAACCTGAAGAAGAGGAGCACCTCTGTCATCTGAAGACTGACAGGGGAGTCCCCGGAGGGGCAGCACTCACAGACCATGTGGAACAGACTACGACCTTCACCATCCTTCATGTATCTTTGATCGATGAACATAGGGTTGAGCTGCATGACGTGCTCGAACATCAAGGTACCACCTGCAACAGTCAGGACAGATTTCAGTGTTAATGAACACCGCTGGTATCTCTGTGTCATACATACTCATATCTGATACAGGTGGGTTCTAATGTCATCAGTTTATAATCTCAGACTATCAAAAACAGTTATATCTGATCAGTACCAAGCATCTCTCACAGATTGTGGTCTGTCTTATCCAAAAAGGCTTGCTCTGGGGATTACCAGTGTCAGCAAGTTCTTGAAAACCAGAAGTAGCCCTTTCAACCATTCCAGAATGCCCAAAATATCAATACATTATCCATACCACATATTTCCAGTGTGATGACAAAAGTAAGATATGTAAAATGGCCAGGCTAAAATAACACCATATGACGGAACCATTCATATAGCTGGACATGTAAACCACTGAATCATCTCCCAGTTTATGGCATGTGTATGAAGAATGAATGCTACAGTAATTGTAGAATAAAGATATTTCGCAAATATAGTTGCTACTGCGATTCATTATTATTTTTTTTAAATAGAAGAACATGTCTTCAGCCTTATGCCTTTAGACTGGTAATAGTTCCTACCTGACTTTAGGCAGAGCCTCACGGCAGCGTGAAGGCGTGTCACCATCACATGTTTTGAGGGAGTCATAAGGAGCCCCCTTCAGCATGAGGACAATCACCAGCTCATCGAGCCAGTCAGTCTCAGGAGCCATCAACACAAACTGGCTCAGTGCCACATCTCTGGCATTGAACCTTCTGGCATATCCTTGAGGTTCTGGGTTTGGAAGGTGATTCAGAGTCAAAATAGCAGGTCGTGGTAATTTTCGTTTCAGAGGGACATAGTTCTGACCCATGATAAGGATTCTGATTGCTTCAAAAGATGATGTCTTGACCAGACATTCCAGAACTCTAGGCATTAATGGTGCTAGCCAGATCAATGTGGCCTCCAGTTGTGGCTTGTAAACAAAGTCTGTAATAGGAACAGTCATCAGTGATTACAGTACAACCAGAAATTATTGAGAATTTAAAGATTGTAATTTTTCAAAAAAAATTCACTCATTACTCACTTATTAAATGTGAATAGTAGCAGAACATAACTCCAGATTCAAAGACAGGTGAACAGTTAGTATTTTGTCAAGTCACCATGGGCAGCAATGCAGGCTTCAATGCGGCAGGGCATACTACTGATCAAAGAAGTAAGAAGTCGTGGTCCATGCTGTCCCTATATCGGACCACCTCTTCTTTCATTTCAGCAATAATGTAATTTTTAGAGTAAAATTGATATTTTATACTTATCCTGACTCATGCTCTTTTGCTTGTCTTCTTCTTCTTGCGAACATAGTGGAACACTTGTATCTCCTTATTTGAAGCTCCCTTCAAAATAAAATCACTAATTGGTACTCACCACGAGTTGCTCCCCTTTGTTTCCCCTGGCGGGAAAGGTGTCGCCACCCTCTGGCCATGTGCTCCACTCTCTCCTGATTTTGCGAGCCCAACACTTGAACTTACAGGGAAATCCAAAGTGTTATGTGGGGAGGATGGGAGGGCTAACCTCATGAGTCAGGATAAGTATAAAATATCAATTTTACTCTAAAAATTACATATTTTTCCTTATCCTGACTCATGCTCTTTTGCTTGTAGCATCCTACGGACACGGAGGTGGGAGTAACAGAATACTTTGGATTTATAATTAGTGATTTTGTATAGATATACTGTAATATCCCCTACGGGAACTTCATGAAGGCTTAGACTTAGGATGTTTGTTGTATTAAAAAACCATTGGTTACATAATGCCATTAAAGGGGAATTACATTATAAATATATTGAACAATACATATAATATATATATATATATATAAGTGACTCTGATAGAGGCACTGAAACTGAAGATATCATAGTATAAGCTTAAGGCTGAATAACTTAAGCTGAACATATATACATAGCCCTAAAACTCCGTAGAGTTATAAGCTAGATAAGTATGTATATAATACATATTAATCTTGTGAGGGTAATATTTAAGCCTTCACAGGAACTGTCAGTTGCTGAGCCAGGACCAGTGGTCCGAAATGGTGAATGCCAGAGACATCTTCTGTAGTGATGTCTCTCAGGTAGTGATTAGCAAATACCATGTTAGATTTCCAATAGCATCCTTCCATAATCGTGTTCAAGGAACAGTTGCCGTGAAGGCGAGGGTGGAGGCCAATGCCCTGATCTCATGTGGATTTGATGCTGTTGGTGGGTCCAAGCCTGCTGCCTTGTAGGCATGGAGAATGACAGTCCTTATCCAAATAGATATTGTGGTCCGTGACACTTCTGTTTGATTTGTAGGCGATAAGGGGATGAATAAACGTTTGAGAAATCTTCTCCTTGTTTTGGATCGTCGTAAGAAAATAAACTTTGAGCTCTTACTGGACACAGTGATAAGTCTTGTGTATCTTGTGATCCGAGAATAGAGGATAGCCGGGGATGTGGAATAACCTGTCTGGTTGACCCTGGCAGTTGATTTTTTAGCGATGAAATCCCATCTTAGTCCGAGGTGCGCTGTGTTATGATTGTCATCAAACTGTATCCTCTCGTAATCTAGAGCGTGAATTTCAGACATTCTTGCTGCCGTGGCTAGAGATAGCAGAAAAGTGTTTTCTGTGAGAGAAATTCAAAAGTTGTCGATTCCAAAGGTTCATAAACCTCACTCACCGTGGAGGTGTTGTAACACTATATTCAGATCCCAAGCTAGCGTGGAACTTCCGCTTTGGTCCTCCAATCGGAATGCTCGTAGTAAGGCCAGTAACTCTGGAGATCTTGTCAACTTGACACCCGCTCTCATGGTGATTACAGAACTAAGCTGCAAGATATGTTGATATCGTTGAACCTTTTTAAATGTTTGTTTTGGCGCAGGTAACACAAATAGTCTCGCCACTTGAGGCTGTGAAGCCTCTCTGCTGTAAAACCTTTCTTTGTTGCATAATTTTGAGAAACTGTGCCACTTTGTCGTCGCATTGCCACGAGTTGAGTAACGTAAGGCAAGCGTGACTGCTTTTGCCGCCCTGGCAGAATATCCTCTCTTGTTTAAACACATTTGTATACAGTCCATACGTGTAGTTGGAACATTGCTGGGTTTCCGTGCACTTGTTTGGTGTGAGGATGAATTAACAGGTTTGGCTGGCAGGTAGCTCCAGTGCTGGTTGACCCGATTTCTTGAATTAGTATGGGAAAACCACGTTCTGGCCGGCCAGTAGGGAGCGACCAAAGTGAGTTGTAGGCTCTGTGTTTGTCTGATTTTCTGTAATACTTGAGGTATTATTGCTGGCGGGCGAAACGCTGCAGACGCATTGAGGCCTTCCCATGATAGACTTAGAGCCGTCCGCTGCCCAAGCTTGAGGGTCTGGGACTGGTGACACTTAATGTCGGTAGCTGATTGTTGAATCGCGTGGCGAAAAGGTCTATTAGGCGCCCTAATTGCTTGATTATCTGTGCAAATATTTCCCTGTTGATCATCCACTCTGTCGGTGATGGTAGATGAGGCCGAGAAAGAGCGTCTGCTAGTATATTTCTGGCTCGGGAATGTGAACTGCTCTGACATGTAGATTTAGATCTTGTATTAAATCGAACAGTTGAAAGCTAGGTTCAAAAGGTTCAGCGATCTCGTTGAGCCTTGCTTGTTTATGTAGAACGCCACTGTCGAATTGTCTGTATGGATCATTAGGTGCGCATTTTGTAGAAATGTGCTCCAATGTAGAATGGCGTTGATTACAGCTTTCATTTCTAGACTGTTTATATGGAGTTTGCATTCTTGCTGATTCCATAATCCTGATATCGCGGTGGTTGGTGAGATGAGCTCCCCAACCTTGGAGTGACGCTGTCTACATATAGATGGGTTTTGAATTCCTGCTCTGCTAAACAAATCCCTTCGCAGACATTCGATTTCTTGGTCCACCATAGTAGATGAGGTCTGAGATGTTTCGTAGACTGAATGGTTGTACATCGTTGAGATGTGCGCTGATGAGGACCTGTAGGGTCCAGAACTGTAATCTGCCTGTGACAGTCATGTCTTGGGCTGATGTGAGAAGACCTAGTAGGCTCTGCCATTGTCGAAGTGGTAACGGAGAGAGTAGAGCTGGTGGAATGGTCTGTTGTATCTTGAGCCAACGGTCTTCTGGTACAACGATACGGTTGCGATTTGTGATGAATCAATACCTAGGAACTGCAGGTCTTGGCGATGGTACTAGGTCCGACTTTGCGTAAGTTTACTAACCATCCTAGTTGTGTTAGTAGCTTTATGATGTAATTTAACTGTAGTTTGAGATGCTGTGGATCTTGATCTACCTGTATCCCGTCGTCGAGGTAAAACGACCGCGTAGCCCTTTGACGATGTAGAAAGATGATAATCGTATTCGTTATCCTCGTGAATAGCCAGGGGCTGATGATATTCGAATGGGAGTACTTTCCACTGGTAATGTAGCCCTTCTAGAGTAAACCGTAGGTATTTCCTGGAATCGGGATGAATGGGGATGCAGGTAGGCATCCTGTAGATCTATGCTGCCCATGTAGTCCATAGGGCCGAATCATCTGGCGTAACTGAGGTAAATGTATCATGCTAAACTTCGGTGGTTTGCGTGAGATAATTCTTGTTGAAAAAGCTCATGTTGTAGATGAGTCTGTATTTCTCCGTGGAGTTTTTCTTGGGAACTAGGAAAACTGGGGAGTAGAAACCTGGTTCGACGTTTGCTTGATCTATTACTTCTATGGCCTGTTTGGATAGGAGTGATGAAACAGCCTCTCTTATCTTTGGTAGTTGTTGCGCTTGTAAATCGAACTTGAAGGGTTTGATTGTCAGCGGAGGCTTGGCCTGTAGTGGGATACGAAATCCGTGTTGAAGAATGTTGGAGACGTAAGGGTCTTGCAATATTCCCCAGTTTTCCCAGTGTAGTTGGAGGCGTCCACCCACTTGTGCTGGCTGTACTGGAACGGCTGGGGGTGGAAGACTCCAGTCGTTCCAAACCTGTGTTTCAGCGTCTATAGTTGCGGGAACCTCTGGGTGTCCTGCCTCTTCCTGATCCTCCTCTATAGTTGCCATATGGCCGACGAAAAGAATCTTTACCTCTAGAGCTGGCTATCTTCCTGTCTCTTGCTCTTTGTAGGCCCGTGAACTTAGATCTGCCTGAGTATCTTTGTGAAGTCTGACCGAATGACGCTGGCTAGTGTGTCCATCGATTTAATCATAAGGACTTCCCTGGAATCCTTAGAGACTTTCCTTGGCGACTTTTGTCGATTTCTCCGTCAAAGATGGATGTTGTCGACCACGGGGCTGTATAAAGTGGGGCTGTAAAGTTCTCCCCCCAATTGCAGGAAGCGAGGAGGCCTTGACGACGAGCTAAGGTCAGTGCTGCTGAAACAGATGTAAGATGATCCGTTAAAAACTGCCGATCTTTCTTTTGCATAAGTAAGGCAGAATAAATCATTCTATCATCTTCCGTCGTGGAATCCCGGAATCTAGTGATAAGAGTCTCATTGATCGTCCTAGATCTATTTAACCCAAAGAACATAACGCCTCGTCATGGTTTCTATATGAGCCAACTTAGCATCATCCATCTTGTAAATCTTGTTCTTGACATCGCTGATGATCTTATAGTTCTCATCGATGTCCTGGGCTTTGTAGAAACAGTCCATGTTATGCGTGGAGAACTTCTTGGCATGAAAGTTGGGTAGATGTGGTGTCTGAACTTTCGTAGCTTTCTGGAAAGCTGCATCTAGATTCTGTGGCACTGCATGATCATCGGGTCAATCGGGGTAGAGTGATCGCGATCTGGATCGTCTTCCTTCATCAAATACGTCTGCGCTTGTATTGCCACTTTTAGATGGTGATGAGAGATCTAGGTTATTGACCATCCAATACCGTGATCTCTGCATCGGAGAAAATGATTCCTCCATCATCCTCAAAACCATCATCATTAACAAATTGTAGATGCTCTT